AAATCTCCATCTTAAACTTCTTAGCAGCAAGAATGCAAATAACAAATATTTTAAATTGGCTGAGATAATCTACTTTTAAAATAATCCTATTCGACAATATATTAAAGTGATGTATCTTTGAGATGACAAAAATGTAATATTAAGTTAGTGACAGCTCAAATTACAGATAAAAAGCAAAGCACAAATCTGTAAGTTGAAAAGGCTGCCTATAAAAGGACTGCCTCTAGTAAGTTTGAGTTTATTTATTGTGTACATAAAAAATGTATAATTTCTGCACAAATGATCCCATCAGCACTGTATTTAGTAAAAGTATATTCCTCACCTTCATAGTCATAAGAAAAGACTTTAATGAAACTATAAAAGGAGGTCAGTAGTTTTAAATCATTACTAAAAGATTCTGGTGGCAGACATAACCTATCTTCAATCAAAAAAACACATGGCAGTGACATACGACAACAGCAGCATGATTAACAGCTGCAGCGTTCCCAGGCCAGACAATGCAGCTCCTGCCTGGATACTCGCCATAGCTGACCACCACAACTGTCCTTGATCATTGGGACTGAATAGGCCCACAGACTCGACATGTTAATTTTGCCACACTATTTAAAGCCCTCAAATAGAAGAAAGATGAGAGCTTCAAAAACCAACATGTCCTGCTGTACTGCCTCTTTTTCAGATACTGTACTTCCCACTGCACCATTATGACCAAACAATAATTTAACTCTAACAAAAACCATCATTAAGTAACAAAAACTATCATTAAGGTATATAAATGAAACAGCGGGTGGGGGTAGTAGAAAGTGAAATAGGAAAAAAAAAAAAAGGTAGAAATAGATTTTATTGTTTTAGGTAATACCTAAAGTAAAAAAATGAAAAGTGGTAACTTTTAATTCCTTTTACAATGATACCTGACTACTACGTAGTAAACATACACCTGCAAATCAGAGGCGGGAATCATCCTAGCAACTTGCAAGTCTGAGCTCATTAACGTGTATATCACCTGCAGGCCGGGCAGCATCAAACTGCATCTGGGACTCAATACAAAGAGCAGTCTCTTCCCACTTGCCATGTTGTATCTACTCCCTCAAAAAGAATAAAGTACTCCATAGTTATCAAATAAGATATGATTCTTATAAATGGTGAGATAATTATGGTTAAATTATAAATAACAGACTTAAGAAACAAACACTGTTTATATTGATCATGGGTAATCAAGCATTAAAACTAAGCTTTAAAAGGCAGTATTCAATAGAATTTTGATGACCATTACTTTGGGAGTCAAAAACCCCTTACTATGAATCTCCACTCTAAATATCAGTTCCTAATATTAAGAAAATGTTATCTGGGGACCAGTGGATGGCATAATGGTTACGTCACTGGACTTCCACAGTCAACCGCAGGTCAAGTCCTGGACTCAGTGGCTTAAACTCACACAAGGCATGTGTGCGTGCATGCCCAAAATCCCAAGAGGAAAATGGAGAAGGGATTGCAGCATGGCCATGCCCCCAGGGGGTGATTTATCACTTTCTGTCTCTCTCTCTCTGGCAAGCACATGTGCCTTCTAACAAAAAAAAAAAAAGTGATCAAATACTAGCTCACAGGGACTATAATAATGTTCCCAAAACTTAATTATAAATCTACTCATTCATTTTTTAGACAAAGTACAAGTAAAATATAACACACTATTATTCAATCAATCTATTGACCAATTCAAATAAGAACATATTCAAAATAGCTGCAAATACCCAAAAAATTAGCTGGTACAACTTATTTAAGAAACTATGTTTTCTTCCCAGTTCAAATTTTGAAAAACAAAACAAAACAAAGCAAAACCTTGTCTTTAAGGTTAATCACAAACAACTTATTCAACAGGCATTCAAAGAATGTTAAACAAACATTCATAGACCACCTACTATGTGCAAGGCACACAGGATGGAGATGATAGTACCTGGAAAGAGATGATAGAAAGGGGACAGATAACAACATAAACCTAAGTAGGAGGTGGTGGGGTTCATAATTAAAATACATAAAAGCAGCAAAAAAGGACTGACACCTCCAAAAGTTAAATTCAACTAGTTTAATATGAAAAGTCAATAAACAGCCAATTAAAGGATGGGACTATAATACACACTGTTAAGGAAGGAATAATTAATTATTTTTTAAGATAATAAGAAAATGTTATAACACTGACTCCCTCTTCATTGAAGGCATTAGGAGTAAAGAGGCACTTCAGTTTTTAAGCTCAACAAAGTAGAGGTTAAAAAAAAAAAAAAAAAAGAAGGCTTACCTTATCTAATAAAATCTACCACAAACATATAAGTACTTCCTTTACATTTGGCTGGTATATCACATTACATATTACCATATAGATTAAGAGGACTATTTGCCTTAAATGGAAAACAGGTTTTCACCATTGTGACCGACATGGGCTACCCATGGTACTATACTCAAGAGAGTAACTTGAGGCTCAATTCAGACTCAACAAGACTGTTAAGAGCAATTAGCAATGTCGGCTATAAGAAGGAGGGAAAATGGAAGATGTATGCTATGTATCCGACATTTCTAGGATCTTGTATTTTCTCTGGTAAGTCATTTCGTATTTGCAAAGAACCCTTCCTATACTCCCCCCAAGAAAATGAATTTAACTAATTTAACATTAAAGTCAATCATTTTAAGGACTAGGACTGCAATAAATACCGTTTGGGAAAAGCTATCCAGTCTAAATGCTATGTCTTCTTTTCTGAGAAAAATGTCCTGACTCATGATGCTGGGATTCCACCCTCCTAGCTATAAGTGATTGACCCCTGAGTAAAGCCTAATCCAATATGGGATAATAAATAAAGTTTTTCCTTACTGAGAATTTAGAATTAGGAATCACTAACAGCCAGTTTGGTTTTCACATATGTGCAACAACATTCAAATTATGATGGTCATGTACGATTGATAACATTAGACTGAGAAGCAGAGAAACTATACAGTCCGTAGAGAAAGAAATGAAGAAAATTTTGGTGCCAGATGGTAGCATGAAGGAAATAACCTAAGAAAGGTGACAGACAATTTAAACCAGAGTGGTGTAGCACTCCGCACTGCTGGACCCGTGTGGGAAGGCCCAGGCTTTGCATCCCAGAGCCTCCCTCCACATACAGAGCATGTCTGCATGTGGGCTGGGTGGGCTGAGGCTGGGGCAGATAGTGGCATGGGGACTCTGCTGAGGGTCTTGGTCTCTCTCTCTCTCTCTCACCTAACAAGAGGGAGAGAAAAGAATCTACAGGACCAGAGAAAGTAGGAAAATAGGAATAATTTCTGGGTTCCTCATAACTTTCCTGTCTCTAAATCCCTCAGCTTTATCTCCCTGCATCTGAATTTTTTAAGATTCTATTCTCCTTATTTTGGCTAGTTTATATTAATTTACTTTATTTACAGCCAAATAGCATTAACTATAAAGGATGATAGGGGTAAAAAAGAATAAAGAAAATAATGTTACAGAAGAAGAAAAGAATATGTAGAACACTTACCCAAAATAAGTCTAATTTCTTCTCAACCATATTTTAAAATTACAGTAGAAATTAATTTCTTCAGCTTTCTATCCTCTTCTTAAAGAGAGATATATGATAAACAGAAAGAAACCTGACCTTTGTTTCTTCTGTCCTCACTGAATCCAGCAGATAATGAAGAAGCTCCTGACTGTCTTGTTGTTGGAAACCTTTAAATCGAGGTGCCCTATGATATTAAAAAAAAAAAGCTATAATTTATTAAGCAACTACTACATGCCAAGCAGAATATTAGTAGCTTTATATATGTTAAAATCACATGATCCTCAAGCAATGGAATATGTTACTTTCTCTTGCTAATACAACAGGACTCAGAAGGATTATTTTTTAAATGCCCATGATCACACATCTAGTTTAAAAAAAAAGTATTAAAATCTAAGGCATTTAGCTCTATAACCTACCTTAAATAACTAAAACAAAGCAAAACAAAACAAAAAATAAAATATTTATATTAAAACAACTATGAAAGATCTTCAGAAAGTTCATGATATATATATTATGAAAAGCTGCATGAATTTCAAAATGCTTTCGCACCGGGACCAGCAGTTAGCGTAATGGCTATGTCGCTGGACTCCCACATAGTCGACCGCAGTTCACGTCCCTGACCCAGTGGCTTAAATGCATGCCGGGCGCGTGTGCATGTGTGCCCAAGATCCCGAGAGGAGAATGGAGAAGGGATTGTGGCATGGCCATCCCCCCTGGGGGATGATTTCTTGCTTTCTGTCTCTCTGTCTTTCTCTGTCTGGTGAGCGCACATGCCTTATAGCAAAAAAACTCTTAAAAAAAAAAGCTTTCACACCAAATTAACTCATTCTTTACTTCTATTTTTCCACAAACATTTTGAAATCCCCTCATACCAAGATAATACCTCTGTGAATATATTTAAAGATTTGACAGTTAAATTCCATGTGTGTTAATAAAAAGATCAGGTATCTGGCAGGTGGCCTGGTGGTTAAGCTATTGGACTCCCATCTGCCTAACCACGATTCTAGTCCAGGACCTGGCAGTTTCCTTTCTCACTTTCCCTAGCTCTCTGTCTCTTTCTGGTCAAATTTTAAAATTAATAAATAATAATAAATAAACTACAGGACCAGAGAAAGTAGGAAAATAGGAATAATTTCTGGGTTCCTCATAACTTTCCTGTCTCTAAATCCCTCAGCTTTATCTCCCTGCATCTGAATTTTTTAAGATTCTATTCTCCTTATTTTGGCTAGTTTATATTAATTTACTTTATTTACAGCCAAATAGCATTAACTATAAAGGATGATAGGGGTAAAAAAGAATAAAGAAAATAATGTTACAGAAGAAGAAAAGAATATGTAGAACACTTACCCAAAATAAGTCTAATTTCTTCTCAACCATATTTTAAAATTACAGTAGAAATTAATTTCTTCAGCTTTCTATCCTCTTCTTAAAGAGAGATATATGATAAACAGAAAGAAACCTGACCTTTGTTTCTTCTGTCCTCACTGAATCCAGCAGATAATGAAGAAGCTCCTGACTGTCTTGTTGTTGGAAACCTTTAAATCGAGGTGCCCTATGATATTAAAAAAAAAAAGCTATAATTTATTAAGCAACTACTACATGCCAAGCAGAATATTAGTAGCTTTATATATGTTAAAATCACATGATCCTCAAGCAATGGAATATGTTACTTTCTCTTGCTAATACAACAGGACTCAGAAGGATTATTTTTTAAATGCCCATGATCACACATCTAGTTTAAAAAAAAAGTATTAAAATCTAAGGCATTTAGCTCTATAACCTACCTTAAATAACTAAAACAAAGCAAAACAAAACAAAAAATAAAATATTTATATTAAAACAACTATGAAAGATCTTCAGAAAGTTCATGATATATATATTATGAAAAGCTGCATGAATTTCAAAATGCTTTCGCACCGGGACCAGCAGTTAGCGTAATGGCTATGTCGCTGGACTCCCACATAGTCGACCGCAGTTCACGTCCCTGACCCAGTGGCTTAAATGCATGCCGGGCGCGTGTGCATGTGTGCCCAAGATCCCGAGAGGAGAATGGAGAAGGGATTGTGGCATGGCCATCCCCCCTGGGGGATGATTTCTTGCTTTCTGTCTCTCTGTCTTTCTCTGTCTGGTGAGCGCACATGCCTTATAGCAAAAAAACTCTTAAAAAAAAAAGCTTTCACACCAAATTAACTCATTCTTTACTTCTATTTTTCCACAAACATTTTGAAATCCCCTCATACCAAGATAATACCTCTGTGAATATATTTAAAGATTTGACAGTTAAATTCCATGTGTGTTAATAAAAAGATCAGGTATCTGGCAGGTGGCCTGGTGGTTAAGGTATTGGACTCCCATCTGGCTAACCACGATTCTAGTCCAGGACCTGGCAGTTTCCTTTCTCACTTTCCCTAGCTCTCTGTCTCTTTCTGGTCAAATTTTAAAATTAATAAATAATAATAAATAAAATTAAATAAAAATAATTCTTTAAAAAAAGATCAGGAGTGGGGCCAGCAGGTGGCATGATGGTTAAGGTACTGGACACTCCCACATGGCCAACCACGTTTCAAGTCCCAGACCCGGTGGCTTGTTTTCTCACTCTCCTTCCTCCCCTGTATCTCTCTCTGGTCAAATTAAATAAATAAATGAATAAATAATTAAAAAATTCTTTTTTAAAAAAAATCAAAAGTTATTAGTAAAGATTTCAAAATAGAAGATATTTAGTTGGAGACCAGCAGTTGGGATAATGGCTATGTCACTGAACTCCCATGTAGTTGACCATGGTTCGAGTCCTGGACCCAGTGACTTAAACTCATGCTGGGCACATTTGCAGGCATGCCCAAAATCCCAAGAGGAGAATGGAGAAGGGATTGCAGAGTGGTCATCCGCACTACGGGTGATTTCTCGCTTTCTGTCTCTCTCGTCTCTCTCTTCCTGGTGAGTGCACTCACCATATAGCAAAAACCTCTCCAAAAAAAAAAAAAGAAAAAAGATATTTAGTTGATTTCAGTACTGTTAAAAGTAACCTGGGGCCAGCAGGTGGTGCGGTAGTTGGGATGCTGCACTTCCACATAGCGAGCTGTGGTTTGAGTCCTGGACCTGGCAACTTGCCTTCTCACTTTCCTTCCCTCCCTCCCTCCCTCCCTACTTTTCTTCCTTCCTTCCTTTCCATTTCTCTCTGATGAGTACATGTGACCAATAGCAAATTAAAAAATAATAATGAATTATAAATAAAATTAAAAATAAAAAAAACTTTGTAAGAAGAATGATTTCTTTCAAAATTTGCTCAAGGGCATGTATGCTCACTGGAGAGAGACAGTGAGAGAGAGAAAAAGAGAGAAAATGAGTAAGCAAGCTACCCACCAGATATGGACTTGAACCACAGTCAGTCATGTGGGAGTCCACTGCCTTAACCACTACACCATCTGCTAGCTTCAAATAAATAATTCTTTTTGTTGTCCTTTTTTAGCGAGATTTTTGCTATAGGGCACATGTACTCACTGGAGAGATAGAAAGACAGAAAGTGAGAATCATCCCCCAAGGGGGATGGCCACACCACAATACCTTCCCCTCTATTCTCCTCTCAGGATCTTGGGCATGCACACACACACACCCAATGTGAGTTTTTTTTGTTTTGGTTTGGTTTTTTTTGAGAGGTTTTTGCTATAGGGCGTGTGAATTCGCCTGACAGACAGAGAGAGACAGAAAGTGAGAAATCACCCCCCCCAGGGGGGATGGCCACACCGCAATCCCTTCTCCTCCATTGTCCTCTCGGGATCTTGGGCACGCACGCACATGCGCCCGGCTTGAGTTTTAAGCCACTGGGTCTGGGACGCGAACCGCGGTCAACTATGTGGGAGTCCAGTGACATAGCCATTACGTTAACTGCTGGTACCCCCCACCCCAACGTGAGTTTTAAGCTTCTGGGTCTGTGACTCAAACCACGGTTGACTATGTGGGAGTCCAGGGACATAACCATTACCCCATCTGCTGGTCCCATAATTATTTTTTTTAAAAAAGTAATCTGTGGGGCAAGCAGGTGGCTTGATGGTTAAGGCACTGGACTCTCACATAGCTGACCACAGTTTGAGTCCTGGACCCATCAGTTTGGAGGAAAAATAATTAAATAATGACAATGAACATTTTGTTTTAAATGCAAACAAGTACTAAATCGAGAAAGTTCTCTGACCTAATATAGAGAAAGAATTCTATCAGGTCAGCAGGTGGTGTGGTGGTTAAGGTGCTAGACACTCCCACACGGCCGACCATGGTTTGAGTACCAGACTGGTGGCTTGCCTTCTCACTTTCTTTCTCTCTATGTGTCTGCCTTTCTCTGGCCAAATGAAAAATGACTGAATTAATAAATAAAATTAAATAATTTTTTAAAATTCTGTCAAAATAATACAAAATAATACGTATATCTATGGTAGTACAAGATAAATTTACAACTACAGTTGGCCCTATCCCTGCATTCTACATCTGCAGATTCAATCAACCACAAATGGAAAATACAAAGTTACATTGTTGCTGATATGTACTACTACTTAGGCCTAGGATGGTTGCATCTGCACTGAACACTGTATACTTTCATTATTCCCTAAACAACAGAGTGTAAAAACTATTTACATCCCATATACATTGCATGGTATTATAAGTAATATAGAGAGGATGTGCATAGATTATATGTAAATATTATATCATTTTATGAAGGGTATTGAGCATCCTCAGATTTTGGTACCCATAGGGTTCCCTGGCATATACCAAGGGTCAACTGTATTTCATTATCATATATACAATATATCTTTCTTGATATATACAACAGTACTGTTAGGGAATTTATTATTAATATGAACACCATTTTATACTTGAGAAAACAATAACAGCTAAATACTGCTGACATGTATCTAGGTCTTTTGACTCTGAATTCAGTACTTTAAGCTTAATTCCTCATTACTTCATGACAAATATTCATCCTAATAATGCTCCATATAGATGTCCCTAATTGCCAAAAAACTAACTGAACTGGCAGTGAATCTAGCCTGTAGAGAACACAGCATTTCAGTTACTCTTTTGTGAAGTAGTAAATAACTTGATACTGAAAATACTTGTTAACGCCCCTGGTGGGCTTCTCTGCATGTTTAGGATGGACACCAAGATGAACACAAAGTCCTATCTCATTGGACCTCCACAGTGGCATCATGAGAGGTGGAGACCTCAGGAGACTCTACGTGGGCTGTAGAAACAAGGAAGTCAGTGAGATGGCAGACGGGGAAACAACACCCTTTAGATATCTGCACCAGCCTGGCAGCAGGTAGAAGAGTGGAGACAATTATAGCTTTTAAAGCAGATACACAGGAAGGAAACCTGAACAAAGGAGAAACTGTCTTCACCATGTCTCTGCCTTTCATTTCATTTCAACCATGCATAAACTTGCTGTCTTCTAAACTACTGCAAAAAATTAATCTAGGCTTTTTAAAGAATTATCTTTATTTATTTATTTGTTTATTTTATTTATATTTGACCAGAGAGGAGAGAGAGAGAGGGACAGTGAGAAAGCAAGCCACCAGACCTGGGACTCAAACTGTAGTTGGCCATGTGGGAGTCCAGTGCCCTTAACCACCAGGCCACCTACTGGCCCCAATAAATCTAGATTTTTTTCCTTTCTTCTTTTACATAGGGCTGGGGAAAATAATCAGACAATGACTTACAGAATCTCTGATGGATATCTGAGCTATCAATATCAAAAGAGATAGCAAAATTTAAAGGATAAGAAGAAAGAAAAATAGGACATATGAAAATACTCAGGCAAAATAAGGAGAACACTTACTATTCAGAGGAATGTACTCGAGTAAAATTGTTCCTGTAAGAAAAAGGATTTAACAAGGGGTCTGGGGGGACGTCTCGCTCTGTTGCAATCCTCCTGCCTGAGCCTCCTGAGTCACTGGGATTCTAGCTTCATGCCACCACACCTAGCTTTTACATCTGACCAGGAACAGAACCTGGGCCTCATGTTATCCCAAAGTATGAAGCACAGTGTCTCAGCAGTGCGTTCCACCAAGGCTAGGCTGAAGGAGGAGATTTAAAAACCTCAAGATGTAAGAAAATGTATGCACAAGCATAGAACAGGAGTAGACCATCAGAAAAAAAAGGAAGGAAGAAACATCGAGCAAGAGAATTTGTGTCACATCTTGTGGGTAATGATGCCTCAGAACACAGACACATCTTGGGACCTGAGGCCTTTTTGAGCATTCAATAGACAGTCCCATAACCGAAACTGTGAATCACTAAGAAATCTGGATCTCTTAGGTCAGCCTAGGGCTACAGTGAGGATACTCTAAAATATTTAATTATTATTCTGATGGGGGCAGGGCAGAGGAGTGGGAGAGGAGACACAAAGGGATGGAGAAAACAGGCGAAAAACAGAAGAGGCCAAATGGGGGAGGACAAAACAAAACACCTATTTCAAAGGAGCCTACAAACCAATGTAATAAAACACAAAGAGGGCTGGCCCTGTGGCCTAGTGGTTAAGAGAACAGGATCCCACACAGTCAACCACGCAGTTTGAATATAGACCCTATTGGCTTGAAAAACGCTGTGTGTGTGTGTGTGTGTGTGTGTGTGTGTGTGTGTGTACAAAACTGACAGGATGGAGAAATGAAGGAGAAAGATGTGACAATGATGAATGAAAAGGTGTTTTCTCCCCCTCCCTAGCAATTAAGAAAGAAAGAGAGAGACAGAGAGAAAGGAAGGAAGGAAGGAAGAAATAAAGGTAATGTTTAAAAAAAATCACAATTAGAACAAATTTACTTTGTTCCAAATAAATTGTAGAGAATTGTCCCAAAGGTTTTACAAAAATATCTCAAGAAATGGCCATATAAAGGCATAACTACTGGGACCATAGATGGCATGGCGGTTACGGTCCTGAACTCCCACATGGTCTACCTCGATTTGGGTCTTAGACCCAGTCGCTTGAAATTCACGCCCAGTGCATGTGCATGCATTCCCCAAATCCCAAGATGAGAATGGAAGAGAAGGGATTGCGACATGACCATCACCCTGTGTTGGAGGCAGGGGTGTGATTTCTCACATTTCTTCTTACTGTCTCTTTCTCTCTCTCCAGCGAATACATATGCCATAAGGCAAAAAACTCTTAAAAAAAAAAAAAGGCATAACGCCAATAAAAAACTAGGTATTAAAAACATAGGACAAAAAGTCAGTAAGAACATATGGGTATTGATAAGATAGCCAGTTAAGGGCCAGCAGGTAGCATGAGGGTTGAGGCAGTTGGATCCCACATGGCCAAATGAGCAGTTCAAGCTCCAGACCCACTGGCTTGACAGACACTCAGAGCACACACGAGAATGCATGTCCAGAATCCCAAGAGGAGAATGGAGGAAAAGGGATAGTGATGTGGCCATCCCCTGTGGGAGGTGATTTCTTACTTTCCCTCTCTCTGTCTCTTTCTGGTGAGTGCACATGCCTATAGCAAACTATAAAGAAAAAAAAAAAAAAAAAGCTGGGACCAGCATTTGGTGTAATGGCTATGTCACTGGACTCCCATGTAGTCAACGGCAGTTCAAGTCCCGGACCTGGTGGCTTAAACTCATACCGGGCGTGTGTGTACAAGATCTGGAGAGGAGAATAGAGGAGAAGGGATTGCAGTGTGGCTATCACCCCTGGGGGGTGATTTCTCGCTTTCTGTCTCTCTGTCTATCTCTGTCTTTCTGGTGAGCACATGCGCCCTAAAGCAAAACCCCCTCCAAAAAAAAAAAAAAAAAAGCTAATTAGAAATAAGAAAACCATGGATATAAGAATACAAAAGATAAAATATAAACTAAACCCAGAATAAATTAGTAGTTTAAAGACAATACTGAGGAATATACTCCGAGTACTAGAGTTCACTGTATTTTCTTTCCATCTTGAATATTGGTGGTACTCCTTAAGGCAGAAGACAACACAGCATATCACAACATATCACTATAGGAGTAGTGCCTTTGCATGGCATTTTTTAGCATACTTTTTATCCAGTTAATTACATTTCCTCGGGAACAATCCTCTCCTCCCAAAAAAACTCAGCACATCAACACTAGTTTTTGCAACATGGAGTAAAGGGGGACAAAGATGGGCACGAGTGAGAATGGAGAAACAGAACCACTCTACATCATCTCTGAAACTTGAGGAAGAGTGAATGGAAAAGCTGGCGAAATCCAAATAAGATCTGTACCAGAATGGATTCATTACTGTATTCATTCCATACTGTGTTAACGTCAGCTTCCTGGTTTTGCCTTTTTCTTTCTTTCCTATAGAGCATGTAGGCTGGCCACAGAGATATAGAAAGAAAAGGGAAATGAGAAGTCATCTGGGCTGGTGGGGTGGGAGATGGCCATATCACAATCCTTTCTCCTCCATTCTCCTCTCAGGATTTTGGGAACGCATGTATACATGCCTGGCATTGTTTCAGGCTCCTGGGTCTGGGACTCAAACTGTGGGCCAGGTGGGAATCTGGCACCTTAACCACTACTCCACCTGCTGGACCCTGAAAGAAAATTTTAACTTTATGAGGCACCCATGTCTCTGAGACTTTTACAGGTTTGTTTGTTTGTTTGCTTGTTTTTTCTCTTCTGGCTATGAAGAAATAGCGTTTGCTAAACAAATGAAACATATATTACACCCTCTATATTTTGGACATTTAAAATATCACAGCACAGATATTTTAATCTACTTGGTATTTTACAGCTTTACTAATTTAAATTAAAATGAGAATTAAAAAATGTGTAGAAACATAAAAATGTAAGTTCGGATTTTGAGTTTTCTTTCTGCATGTTTCAGTGATTGTGGACGAGCTTATGGGCTCCATGAAGACAGGTCCATTTTCATTAAATTTTTTTTGGTTTGATTTCTGGAGGACACATGCACTTGCTAGAAACAGAAAAGGAGAGAAAACAGAGGCAGAGAGAGAAAGAGAAAGAAAGAAAGAGAGAAAGCACTCCCCATGGGAGATGGTCACATCACAAGCTCTTCTCCAATTCTCCTTTCAGGATTTTGGGCACACATGTGTACATGCCCAGCATGATTTTAAGCCAGCAGATACAGGATTGAACCATGCATTTGGCCATATTCCAGCCAATTTAACCAACACATCACTGGCTGGCCCATTTTTAATTGATACATTATACAAAGTATACTCCTAGTTTCTAGAAAATACCTGACAAAAAGGAAGTTCTATTATTTTTAAGAGAGATTTTTGTTATAAGGTGCATGTGCTCACTGGAGAAACAAAGAGAGACAGAGAAAAACAAAGCAAGAAAACACCCCCAGGGGGGATGGCCACACCGCAATCCCTTCTCCTCTTGGGAATTTGGGCACACATGCACACGCACCAGAGTGAGTTTTAAGCTTCCAGGTCTGGGACTTGAACCACAGTTGACTACATAGGAGTCCAGCGACATGACCTTACACCATTGGCAAGTCCTGAAGTTCTCCATTTTTCAGATTAAGAAATCAATTAATGAATTAAGTCAGATCATTTATAGTTTGTGTTTATTTCCAGGCACTTGAGGATTTTGTTTTTTGTTTTTCAGCTTTTCTTAAGAAGTTTTTACTTGTTGCTATAGGGCATGTGCACTTGCCAGTGAGACAAAGAGGGAAAGTGAGAAATCATCCCCCAGGAGGGTGGCCGCACTGCAATCCCTTCTCCTCCATCTCTCTTCTCCAGATTTTGGGCACATACACACGGACCTGGCATGTTTTTCAAGCCATCAGGTCTGGAACTTGAACTGTGGAGTCAGCCATGTGGAATGCAGCCTCCTTAACCACCACATCAACAACTGGCTGAGATTTTGTTTTTGAACTTACTGTAATACCTTGAAAAATTCACTTAAACTCTATTTACCTCAAAGCTCATGTTTAAAAATAAAGAGGCGAAATTATATCTTCTAATATATTGTCAATGATGAACCTGCTATGTATGAGGGGAGGGGACCCCTGGAAGTGTGCAGAGGAGAGATCCATTACTTTACACTTGCTCATTTAAGGGTGACGTATGAGTCCTAATTGCACAATTTCTGAAGATATGGCAAGGAGCAAGAAACAGTGCTGAACTCACACTCCACTTAATGGAAGGAATAAGGATCACAGTCCATTATTAGGCAGCCCAGCTGCATATGCACACAGTCCAGGAGATGGCACAGGGACTTCGAGGTCAGGTTCAGTCGTCACTTCTCATGCATAAATGGTTTCCCGATTGTGCGGGTATTTGAGTGCCTCCTGTAGTTTTTCTTTTTCCCTCATTCTTCTCTGGGCCTAGATTTTCTATTTAGACACTGTGGTGCTTCACAGGTCCACTGTTCTCACCAGAGAGCAAGTACCTCTGTTTGAATTTGCTGTTTCTCCCCTTTCTAAATTTTCCAATTCTACAACTTCCTTAACTTTACAGAATTACATCATGGGCTCTGATTCAGGACAGATTTCTTGAATTGATTCCCAGCTTTGTCATTCTGAGACTCGGTAAATGGCTTCATTTCTCCAGGTCTCTATTTCCTTACATATAAAATGAGGGTAAACAATCACTTTTTCAGAGGATTATGAGGTATAATTTACATAAACACAAAGGTGTAGCTAAACATGTTAGTTCTTTCTCATGATAGCCTAGGCAACAACACAATGTTACATTAAGAGTGAGACTCCTCATGCTATGTAATGAATGCATTAGTATTTTGTAATTCCGTGATTATTTATATAAAAAATGTAGATGCACCCACTTCTGACAGAGCTGATTAAAAAGCACTTTAGGAGAAAGTGGTCCTTTTTCAGTCTCCTTCATGTTGTGAAGAAACAGGAACAAGGCTGAGGTCAGCGGTCCAGGGCTTGAGAGTTCCACCACTAGTGGGTCCTTTAAAAACATGATCAACTCTATGTCAGAAATACACAGTTATGAATACAGAAAACAATTAAGCCTTGAAAAACACAAGTATTTTCATATATTCTGCCCGTTATTTAATCAAATGATTAGCTTAAGTGAAATACCAATGTGTAGGTGCTTGATAGTGGCCCTTAAGGTGCTCTCTACAAGTAAAATGAATCATCTCCTTGATATTTGTACATCTTCACAAATAATCGTGCATTTTTTCTGCCATTTCCAAAATATTTTACGAGTAAAACAAGGAACAGGAATTATGTGACAAAACCAGCACACTACATACTCTTCTTTTAAAAGAAACATAAGACTTAAGAAAGCAGCTAAACTTGTGTGAAGAATTAGCCACTTTATTTGTAGAAAAACAATTTTCCCCACCAAGTTCATTTTTTTAAAAAAATGTATCCTCACCCCTCTTCCAAAAAACAATGAATAAGGACGAGCAAATGGCATAATGGTTATTAAACTAGAGTCCCATGAAGTCGACCATGATTCAAGTCTCAGACCCGGTGGTTTGAAACTCATGCCGGGTGTGTCTGTGTGTGTCCAAAATTCTGAGAAGAGACTGAAGGAGAAGGGCGTGGCCATACCCCTGGGGCAGGGGTGATTTCTCACTTTCTATCTCTTTGTCTCTCTCTGTCTCTCCAGTGAATGCACATGCCCTAGAACAAACATATCTCAAAAGAAAAAGAACAATGAATAAAAAACAGATCCCAAATATTGTGACATTATAGAATATTATCTCCTACTATAGAATATGTAGTCTTATTCATGTATTCATGAAGTACTTGCTACACATGTATTTCACACTTACTGTTCTTAAAAATCTATCTGCCTACATCTACAGAAAGGACAGCCTCTAATTTCCTAAGGTTTTTTTTTTTTTCCTAAAGTTTTGTTTTGTTTTAAGAGATTTTTGCTACAGGGTGCATGCACTCACTGGAGCGACAGAACATGAGAAATCACCCCCACCTGGGAGGATGGCCACACTGCAATCTTTTCTCCATTCTCCTCTCAGGATCTTGGGCATGCATGTGTACATGCGCAGTGTGAGTTTTAAGCTGCCAGGTCTGGGACTTGAACTACAGTTGACTATGTGGGAGTCCAGTGACATAACCATTATGTCATCTTCTGGTCCCTTTTTTTTTTATTTTTACAAAAAAGATTTTTTACATAGGGCACATGCGCTCACCAGAGAGACAGAGACAGTGAGAGAGAAAGTGAGAACTCACCCCCAGTGGGGATGGCCACACTGCAATCCCTCTCCTCCTGAGGTTTTGGGCACGCACATACATGTGCCCAGCATGAGTTTCAAGTCACTGGGTCTGGGACTCTAACCAAAATTGACCATATAGGAGTCCAAAACCTTAACCACCACACCATCTGCAATTTTCAATTGTCATAGCAGAAAGGTGTGTGTGTGTTTAATAGACTTCATTTTAAGTGTAGTTTCAGATTTAAGTAAAACAGAAATCACTTTTGATAATAAAAATCTGTAGGAAAGGGACTTGCAGATGGTATGGTGGTTAAGGTGTTGGACTCCTATATAGTCAACTTTGGTTCGAGTCCCAGACCCAGTGACTTGAAACTCATGCTGGGCCCATGGGAAGGAAGGAGGGAGAGAGGAGAGGGAAAAAGAGAGAGAGAGAGAGAGAGAGAGAGAGGAGATGAAAAATCACCCCACGGGGGAATGACCACACCATAATCGCCTTTCCTCCATTCTCTTCTCAGCATTTTAGGCATGCATGCACATGCGCCTGGCATGAGTTCAAGCCACTGGGTCTGAGATTCAAACCACAGTGGGCTATATCAAAGTCCAGCGACATAACTAGTCCCAAAATTTTTAAGGAGCTAAATAGACCTGTGTTTTAGGCTGCCATTTCAATGATAACAAAATAACAATACTGTCTTTTAAAACTGCCTCCTGAGAAGGACGATCTAAGATTACTACGTTAGGCTAAGCATTTTTAGAATGCTTCTTTTCTGTTTTCAAAAGCCAGATCATGAGCTATACACACACCCTCCTCTTCCTCCTCTAACACACACACACACACACACACACACACACACACACACACCAATTTCTTACGAAAATCATTATTAGTCTCAATACACTCAAGCCAAAGTCCATCAGAAATAAAACTAAAGGAAGACGGGCCCTCTCCCTCCCTCCCTCCCTCTCTCTCTCTCTCTCTTTCTTTCTCTCTCTGGTCAAATTTAAAAATAACAAATAAAATTAAATGAACTTGAACTGTCAAATTTAAAAATAACAAATAAAATTAAATTAACTTGAAAAGAATAGTTTAAAAGAATAAAAATAATTTAATTAAATCTGCCTTTAAAGAATGAAATGCTAAACTTACACAAATGTCACCAATAAAAACTAAGCAATGCAAGTCAACTCTTGTTTTTCCAGTATGTTTGTTTAAAAGCTGTCTCAATAGATTTGAATCATAACATCTTAGAGTTATGATTTTTACTTTAAAATGTTAAATCTATTTATTTTCACAAGAACGATCATAGGTGATAGTTTTGAGAAACATATTGGACCTTCAGAAAAGTGATGAAACATTTTTGCAGAGAAAAATATATCATGACTTTCCTGATGACCCAATAGATTTCAGAAACATCTGTGGCTCACCTGAAAACAGCTATTAGCCAGATAGTTAAATTTCTTACTCACCAGCTGATAGTCTGACGAAGGAAAAATCTTGAGTTTTGTACCATTTTCTTTGATATCATTCATAAGTTCAGTAAGAATGTAAGTATGTGCCAAGTTCTAAAAAAAGCAAAAGTAAAGTCTTCTGATTCAGTTATACTATGGTTCCGATTTGATGGAATACTCTCTCAAAATTTCAAGTTTCATAGCATACCAAAATGCCTATTAAATTTTTTTTATTTACCTTAACTGAATATCATTAGTAAAGTTCACTATTACTGATAGAGCCATGGTAAAATATACAAGGTACTTTTCAAAAGCACTTTGTAAAAAGATGGTGCATTTATGTGTACCATATGGCCAAAGATAGTCAAAACAAAAAGAGAGAAATGTCTAGGGAACCAGCAGTTAGCGTAATGGCTATGTCGCTGGACTCCCACGTAGTCGACCGCGGTTCGCGTCCCGGACCCGGTGGCTTAAAACTCACGCCGGGCGCGTGTGCGTGCGTGCCCATGATCCCGAGAGGAGAATGGAGGAGAAGGGATTGCGGCGTGACCATCCCCCCTGGGGGGTGATTTCTCGCTTTCTGTCTGTATGTCTCTCTCTGTCTGTCTGGCGAGCGCACGCGCCCTATAGCGAAAATCTCTCTCTCAAAAAAAAAAGAGAAATGTCTAGAGAAATATTTGGCAGTCATCTGACTGTCTACATGCATGCTGTTAACAATATAAATTAAATTATCTTTTAGATTTTTAAAGCTCTCTAATGATTCTTACCTGCAGGACTGCATTAAAAAAGCAAGTATTTCCTAAATTCATAATTCCTTTTACAGATGGTACATTGCTGCCCTTTCTTCCCTTCTTTATTTCACCTGCTTCACATTTTTCTTCACAAAGTTTTATGATTCTAGAAAAGGCACCTACAATTTAGAGAAAACATAACTCACATGAAATGTAAAATTGAATATATTCATTTGACATAACTTAAAATTAAATAAGATTCCTCCCTGAATCAGTGTTCTAGAGGACAAGAATACAGACACGAATCCATGAATCTTTAGTTTTATAGTTCATTGCTAAAGCGATTAATTTAAATAAATTTTAAGTACAGATCTGTACTTCGCACCGTATTACATGCAAATTCCAGAATAATTTGAAAGCTGTAAAAAAAAAAAATACAGTTTTTAGAAAAAGTAGAAAAAAGGTTTAGTTTCTGGGTACTATTCCTCACTAAAAGAAATGATGATGCCCTGAAGAAAGTGTTGAGTCTGGGGCCAGCAGGTGGCATGTGGTTAAGGGTACTAGACTCCCACATGGTAGACCACAGTTCAAGTCCCAGACCTGGTGGCTTTCTCTTTCTCTCTCTCCCCAAATTAAAAAATAAATAAATAAGGACCAGCAGTTGGCATAATGGCTATGTTGTTGGACTCCCATGTAGTCGACTGTGGTCTGAGCCCTGGACCTGGTGGCTTAAACTCATGCTGGGCGAGTGTGCGTGCCCAAGAGTCCGAGAAGAAAATGGAAAAGGGATTGCAGCATGGCCATCCCCCCCCCGGGGGCTAATTTCTTGCTTTCTGTCTCTCTCCGTCTTTCTGGTGAGCGCACACACCCTGTAGCAAAAACCTAACAACAAAAAAAAAGTTGAAAAAAGGAAAGAAAAAATAAAGTTAAATAAAATAATTCTTAAAAAAAAAAAGTTGATTCTAAGCCCAGGTAGCAAAGATGTAAAATGCATCCTTAGTATTTTTTGCTATGCCAGAGAATAAGGAAATATTAAAAACAGAACAAAATAAAACAAAACTCATGGGAGTAAGTCAAAATACAGAGGTGCCACATAGAATATACTAGCAATGGTGTAAGTTGGGACAGTATGACTAACAAAATAAATAAGGGTAATATCATAGATTATTTTGTATGCAAAAATGCATCACGACTTTCCTGATGGCCTAATACTTATAGAATGATAAAGTGATCATTTTTTAAAGGTTTTTTTTTTTTTTTTTTGCTACAGGGCGCATGTGCTTGCCAGAGAATCAGAGACAAAGTGAAATATCACCCCTGCACGGGGGGGGGTGGGGGGCAGGGGAATGGCCACATTCCAATTCCTTCTCCATTTTCCTCCTGGGATCTTGAGTATGCATGCACATGCACCTGGCATGTGTTTCAAGCCCCACGGTTCAGGACTTGAACTGTGGTCAGCCATGTGGAGTCCAGCAACATAACCACTACGCCATTTGCTGGTCTTGTTAACAAGTTTTTTTCTTTATTTAATGAGAAAAAAAAAGCGAGGGACCTTCCATATAAAAGAGAATGCCAACTAGCACAGGGGGAAAAAAGAAATAGACAAATCATAATCTATTTTTGTTTACATTATTCTAAACAACTTTCCTGTGAATTCAAAATTGTCAAAATTAAAAGGTAAGGCCAATGGGACCAGGTGGTGTGGTGATTAAGGCACTGGACTCTCACATGGCTGACCATGGTTCAGTCCTAGATCTGGTGGCTTAAAACTCATGCCAGGCACGTGTGTGTGTGTGTGTGTGTGTGTGCGCCCAAGATCCCAAGAAAAGAATGAAGAAGGCATCGTGGCATGACTGTCCCCCATGGGAGGAGCTTTCTCACTTTCTGTCAAGTGCACAGGCTCTTTATTATATAAAAAAATTAATTGAAAGTTAAAAAATATTAGAAGGCCCAACTGGGACCAGCAATTAGCGTAATGGCTGTCACTGGACTCCCATGTAGTCGACTGCGGTTCACGTCCTGGACCCAGTGGCTTAAAACTCATGCCGGGCACGTGTGCTTGTGTGCCCAGGATCCCGAGAGGAGAATGGAGGAGAAGGGACTGAGGCGTGGCCATCCCCCCTGGGGGGTGATTTCTTGCTTTCTGTCTGTCTCTGTCTGTCTGGCGAGTGCATATGCCCTATCGCAAAAAAAAAAAAAAAAAGGCCCAACCACCATGGTGCAGTGATAACATAATGTCCTGCAACCCTGGAAGCCACATGACTGAAAACAATTTAGATCCCCAGGTCAGCCTTAAAAAATATATATTCAAAGTGTTAAGGGAAAAGCAATTTCAACAATTTCAACCAAGAATACTGTACCCAGCAAGATTATCCTTCATACAGGAAGAAAAGACAAGAACATTCTCAGATAAATAAAACCTGAAAGAATTTATCAACACCAGATCAGATCTCTAAGAAGTTCTCAAGGGAGTGCTGTACCAGGAAAATTAAATACAGACACACAGAAATAAGAGTTCAAAACTGGGATCAGCAGTTGGCATAATGGCTATGTCGCTGGACTCTCATGTAGTTGACCATGGTTCTGCTCCTGGACCCAGTGGCTTGAACTCATGCCGGGCACGTGTGCATGCATGCCCAAGATCCCGAGAGGAGAATGGAGGAGAAGGGATTGTGGCATGGCCGTCCACCCTGGGGGGGGGCGGGGGGATTTCTCACTTTCTGTCTTTCTGTGTCTCTCTGTCTTTCTGGCGAGCACACATGCCCTATAGCAAAAACCTCTCAAAATAAAAAGAGTTCAAAACTAAAAAAATGACCAACAACACGGACAAACCAGGAGTTGAATATTATATCCCAGAATTTAATTGGGAAGATCAAACCACAACAAAAGACAGATTAAGTACATGAGACTGAACTGGTAAAATAGCATTTTATGACTTTTGACCAAAACATTGCTGATTTTATTCTAGGCTTTGCTGTCTGGTTTTAAGGATTTTTGTCCTGTCTTAAACTGCCGATAGGTTCATGTACCTACTATTTGAACAGAATCCTAACTGCTTCCTGGCTTTAAGTTATAGGCAAAGTTCCTTAGCATTTCTTTGATAAAACTACTTTTCTTGAAATTAAAGAATATATTTAAAAACATCTATTTAAGGACCATAGTAAACTATATAGTGTCAGCTAGGTGCTACCTTATAGTATATTCATTCTACTCAGAGTTTCACACCTAAAGTCAGACATGTATTCACAGATATGTATATAACAGCTGAACTTGCTATTGGAAGTAGTTAGATGATTTACGAAATTTTGTGAATCAATAAAATGTGGGGGGGGGAGAAATAGAAAACAACTATAGACACCTGAAATAGCGTGGGAGGAGGGTGGGAAACAGAGGTAAAATATATATATACATGTTTCAGAAGAAAATTATAGTGCACTTGTAACTAGATTCCAGGTTTCTCCATATTTTTAGTCTAAGGTATGTTGTGAATCAATAAAATGTGGGGAAAAAGTTTAGCATGGAAGGGAGAGAGGGGGAAGGGGGAGTAAATATATGCTTAATTGATTAAAAAAAAGGCTATTTGCTGATAAGTTAAAGAGTAATATCTTTGGCTTGACTGACATGTGTAGTATTTGTGCTAGAAAAAGAAACATTGTACACTGTAAATACGTGATTAAATGTAAATAAATTAATTCTTAAAAATATGCTGGATGCTGCATAGGCGGCCAGGACCCTACGTAGCTAGAGAGCAGGGAAAGGGGACCACAGCCTGGTGAGATCCTGCTAAGGATGCTTCCCTCTCTTGCAGGTGGAAGCACTATCATAAACATAAGCAGGATTTTAGAATTAATAGTGTTACAATATGAAAAGTAAAATACCTAAGAGTATCATAAATAAGTGCTTGGCATTTAATTAATACAGATTGGAAAATTATATTATCAGTTCCCATTTAATAACAACATAAAAATGAAAAATAATTCTTAACATTTATGGACTGGCATGATTGATTATATTTCTCTAATAGCAGACTTACTCCCTGAATCGAAATCATTATAATTTGAAATTTGACAGAAATTCCCAAGTTCTCAAATGTTCTAACTAGATGTTCTTTTAAATTCCTTTCAACCCTTCTATTGTATAGTACTTTACAACTACATGTTTTATTTATCTAATACTGACATGCTGCCTTGATTACCAACTAACCTTTAAATGTCTGACTGACTGATGGAGATCAGGCAATGCTTCTCATTACTGCTCTTTCATTCACAGGGGAGCAGCACTGGGGGAACATACATGATAGACATCAACATAAAAGAAAATCTACAAGATTAAGCAGATCTACTGAAATTTAGCCCTTCTGTGTCTCTGATAAATTGTCAAGAGGAAATCAATTCAGACACCTTCTGCCACTTTTGTGAACAGCATGAAGGGAGATGACCAGGGTGAAGGTGGCCATGTTCCTATAGATAGCAGCAGAGAGGAAACCACAAGAAGAAGCTTTAGTCCAGTTGGGAGCAGACTGATGTCATGCGTATCTTGTTAGTTCAAACAAGGCTGCTGTCAAAGAAAAAGCATCTAGATAATGGGGCTTTCAAATCAATCAAGTGGGATTAGCAAGGATAATAGAGTCTTCATAAGGAGGAAATGAGCTAATAATTACAAAGCACCTGGTGTGTAAGCACTATGTAAGTGTTTTTAAAAAAATAGCCCTGAGCAGCCCTCCAAAATGTTATTTGTGCCAAAATCCCTATCTTCATGAGCCATCCTGTGTCCATTGTTCACCTGCTCATGAACAGTGAGCATGATGTTTTGTTGTGCCAGAGAATAAGGAAATGTTCTTTTAAAAAGTTATGGGAGTAAGTCACAATATTGAGGCACCATATTGAATAAACTTTCAATGGTCCAAGCTGGGATAATTTGACCAACAAAATAAATAATTCATAATAATAATTTGTAATAATTCCCTTCTCTTTATTCCCTCTCTGTACACTCTGTATATATTTTTTATCAGGTTTTTCTTACTTTGAATTGGATTTTCTGAATTACTGTGTTTGCCTATTATACTAGCTTTATGGTTTTCATAATTGGCTTTTCTTAACATATGGAAATGTCTCATTGAGAAAAATAAATTGTATTAAGTAAATAAATTTCATAAAAAAGATTTTTCTTCCAAGTTCTA